ACACTCTGCAACTCCTCAGATCATTCTCTTGCCTCATGCACCCACAGATAAACTACATATTATGACCAAGTAACTCATTTACCCAGGACAATTCACTATGCCTAAGGGATCCCCAGGAAATACTGTGTAGGATTTGGATTAGCCAGAGAGCATGGGAGTGTCCAAGGAGGGAAGGAAGATCTAGGAAAACTAATTCAGACTTGGCCGTGGATTATGTTTGGTTTTGACGTCAAGGCAAATTCAGAGTGAAGTGGACTGTTATTTTTTACTCTCAGGTTATTTACTCTATAGATAGATAGGAATATGTAAGTCCCTATCTGTTATGCAGGAAGTCCCCAGGCATGTGCAACAGGGCATCCCTCTAAGCAGAAAGAACCAATATACCTAGGAATCCCTGTGCAACTCCATCTCTCAAGTAATAAGAATCAAAGGTTAATATTTATTAATTTTTTTAAATAATTAAAATAAATACCTCAAGAGATTTATCTTGAGATACTTATTTTAAAATATCTATCTCAATACATGTAATAAATAAATGAAGAAAATCGCTTGATGAAACCCATAAAAGGAAATTAATCCAGAAAGGCAGGAAATGAAGTATTTACAACAAAAAATAACACATAAGATACAGATCAACGTGCCAATAGAACTTTGCAAAGGTGAAGGAAGTGCTCTGTATCTGCATTGTACAATACAGTAAATGCCACACATGTGTGGTTATGGAATACTTGAAATTTAAGTAACACTACAGAGGTAGTGAAATATAGCTATTTAATTTTATTAATTTAAATTTTATAGACACATGTGGCTGCTACTGACTGTATTGTTGGGACGAAAAAACAACAAAAAAAGACACAAATAGTCAAATCTAGAATTATGAGAGTGATAAAATAAATCTTGGCACAATAAAATTTAAAGACCATAAGAAGCTGCTTTGAGAGGACAAAAGTCTAAAGACAGATACGACTTAGACAATTTTAAGGGAATGAAGCCACCTCATCACTGTTTGGAGAATTTACCAGAACCCAAAATCAGAGGAGCTAGTGAAGCTGAAATAGATTCAGAGGCAAGTTCCACCGCAAGCAGCCAATTCCTCTTCCTCCACCATCCCAAACTGCTCCTGTTCTATTTCTTCTTGGGACAAATGCCTCCTCTGTTTGACTTTCCTTTTACTGGAATCCTAATCTGGCTACATTCCAGGGACACACCCTAACTAGACTCTAATAGGGCTTCAGTCTGTAAGCCACACACCCTGTTCAATTGGATTGGATTTTCCTGACTGATATAAAATTATAACCCTCACACACAGTTGGAGAGCAAAGATGAAAGGACATTGTAAAAGGATATTAGGAAAATCCATTTATCCTTTTTCATCCATAAATACTTTTGAGTGCATTCTATGTATGGGGAAACATTCTGTGTCTTGGAAATAAAGCAGGACATCAGACATAACAGAATTCTATGTACGTGAAGCTGGAGTTCCCTGGAGGAAACAAGTACTTACAAATAAAATGAAAGATGAGAAAATATGAAAAACTGAAATGTAAATAATGAGGTGACAATATAAGTTATATTACTGGGATGGAGAACTTGACTCTTAAAGCACTGGCTACGTAGAACTTTCAAGAACATGTTAATAATTTATTAATTGTCCAAAGAAAATGGGAAGACAATTTTATATTTTATTTCTGGGTTAATGGAGAAATCAATAAAAAATGTCCCTACATAGTAAAATATAGTAAATAATTTTACTTCCAGGTCATTCACAGTTGATTTATACGTTTTGTAACAGGGAAGAACAAAATCTGACTCCATGTTGGATCTGTTTCTTTTACTTTAACCTTTGCTCTCTATTACTTTTGTTACTATCTGTCTGTAGCTATAAGCATACATAATGGCCTGCCTCTGGGAACCCTGTCCCTCTGCCTGAATGATAAACTAAAGTGCCTTTGTTCAGCTCACAGGGAGAAATTCTGACCCTGTCCACCTGTGAATGGCTGCAAGAAAGAAGAAATTAACACACCCCCTCCCCAGGCTGGCCAAACCAGGTGTTTTGCTAGACTTACGGCCTTTCTTACTTTACTTCCTCACCTCCTCCCCCTCTGTGCTCTATAAAAGAAACTAGCATCCAGACCCCGATAAGATGGTGCTCTAGGACCCTAGTCTGCCATCTTCTTGGATGCCGGCTATCCGAATAAAGTCGCTATTCCTTTCCTCAACACCTCATCTCCAATTTACTGGCCTGTCATGTGGCGAACAGAGTGAGCTTGGACTCGGTAACAAATTTGGCTTAGCCAGCCAGGAGCCTTGCTGATCATGGCTAGCCGGCCCCGGTCAGGAATTTTGAGACAAGGCCCTAGCAGCTTCTGGGACTATTTCTCCTGAGGATCTTCCCTTCAAAATTCCCTGAAGTGGCACCAGCTACCCCAGCACTTGGCAGTTGGAGCAAGGAATCAACAAACTTCTGTGAGCCTCGCTCTTTGCAGGGTATGTAGCTCTGGTACTACTGTGAACAAATTCCCCCCTCAATTTGTTTTGCATTTGGTTGGGCTACCCTGTTGGAGAGGGGAATTGTTCTTGGAATCTACCTGATTTGGAAACCTGTTCATTTGCCTGCGTCGATGTTGGAATTTGTTTGCGTCTTTTGTGTTTTGGTGTTATCAAACTTATAAAAAAATGGGAAATATTCCTTCTATCCCAAAGGAGAGCCCTTTGGGGCGTATATTAGATAAAGGGCAAAACATAGCCATGAGCCTATGACTAAGAAAGAGGTGATATACTATTGTAATACGGTGTGGACCCAATACATGTTAGGATCAGAGGACAGATGGCTCCTGAATGGCTCACTCAATTACTGTGCAATCTCGCAATTAGAAGTGTTTTGCAAAAGACCAGGGGAAAGAGACGAGATTCCGTATGTAGAAGCATTTATGCTATTGCATCAGGAGGAAAGGAGTCAGAGGGCTGCACCCTTATAGTGCAGCGGTCGAAAGGAAACCCAAGGGCAGACCTAGACAAAAGAGCTTTAACAAAATTCAGGAGATAAAACAAAAACCAAATGAGGATCCATCAGAGTTTCTAGAAAAGATTTATCAAGGTTATAGACACTACACAGATACAGACCCTGAGGACGTAAGGGGCCTTCATCAGGCAAAGCACCCCACATATAAGAAAATTACAGAAGTTAGATGGTGTATGTGGAATGAATCGTTCTCAATTAGTAGATGTTGCTTTTAAAGTATTCAACAACGGAGTGACGACAGAAGCAAGAAGATGCAAAATGAAAGGCAGCTTTTCTGGCAGCAGCATTGAATTCCTGGAAGGCGAGTAACCTAAAGGATGGTAAGCAACCATTGGGGAAGGAAAAATGTGCTTACTTCAAGGAGGAAGGGCATTGGGAAAAAGATTGCCCTAGACTAAAGAGTAAGAAGGAGAATAATAAAAAGGAGACAGGAGCCTCTCATATGGTGGAAAGAGAGGAACACTCTGATAATGAATGAAGAGGCCGGGGGACTCCCTTGGACTTGAGGCATCCGATTCTAATTTCCCCACTGGAGGCCCGGGTAACTTTGACAAGTGGGGAACAAGATGATTGATTTTCTGGTAGATATGGGTGCCACATACTCTGTGGTAAATACTCAGGTTGCACAGGAAACATCTCAGTCTATCGCGGTCATGAGAGTTTCTGGAGAAGCACAAAACAAAACTGTTTGTTCTTACAACCTCTAGAATGCCAGCTAGGGGACCTCACCCTGAAACATAGCTTCTTATATATGCCAGAGTGTCCGATCCCCCTTTTGGGATGAGATCTCCTTTGCAAAAGGGATGCTGGGACACCTAATCTAAAATAATATACTGAGACAAGAAGCCCAAAAGGGAATTCAGCCAATTCTGGAAAAGTTTTCAAAAGCAGGACTGATTAGACCTGTCAGGTCCCCATATAACACCCCTATCCTCCCAGTCAAAAGCCCAAACTCGGGCTTCCCTGGTGGCGCAGTGGTTGAGAGTCCCCCTGCCCATGCAGGGGACACAGGTTCGTGCCCTGGTCCGGGAAGATCCCACATGCTGCGGAGCGGCTGCGCCCGTGAGCCACGGCCGCTGAGCCTGCGCGTCCGGAGCCTGTGCTCCGCAACGGGAGAGGCCACAACAGTGAGACGCCCGTGTACCGGAAAAAAAAAAAAAAGGCCAAACTCAACAGAGTATTGCTTTGTCCAAGACTTGAGGGCTGTTAATGAAGCAGTCCAAGACCTACACCCTGTGGTGCCTAATCCATACACTCTGCTCACAACTATTCCGGGAGAATACGGCTGGTTCTCAGTCCTAGACTTAAGAGATGCTTTTTTCTGCATTCTTATTGCAGAAGAAACACAGCAGCTAAAAGTAAAACATCCCAACATAGGTAAATGGGTACGTCAGTCCTTCCATATCATTGAGGTAGCCACCCAATTCTTTGAAAAAAAGAAAAAAACTGTCTTTGTTTTACAAATCTAGTCTTTACAGGATCAGAGGTGTGGCTCCAAAAATAACCCAGAACTCACCAATCCTTTCACCACTCCCCAAACCTTCC